TAAGTAACTACTAATCTGATTTCTGTCTTTATGGATTTGCCCATTCTGGACATTGCATATAAACAGAATCATACATTATGTGACCCTTTGTGTCTGGCTTCTTTCACTTAGCATAACGTTTTCTAGGTTCATCTGTGTTGTAGCCGGTATCAGTTCTTCATTCCTTTTAATTGTTAAATAATATTCCATGTTTTTGTTCATCACTCCATCAGTTTTTGAACATTGGAGTTGTCCCATTCTGGGCTGCTGTGAACATTTGTGTTCAAGGTTCTGTGTGGACATACGTTTTCATTTCTCTTGGGCACAGACCTAGGAGTAGGAGGCCACCTATTATTGGGGAACACATGAAAACAGTGACCTCTGCTTCATGGTTCCTGATTTATGATAAAGTTAAGCGTTCACCAGTGGTGTGTTGTTCAGATAACTTGGTTCAAATACGGGTATTGTGTGGTCATACTCTTCACACAAATGCTCATACCATACATATATTTAGTTCATATTTATTTAGGTGGTTAAATCAGAGCATCATTCCTGATCCCCTCTTCTCACTAGAGGGTCTGCATCCTTTTTACAACAATGCAAAAATATTAATTTCATTTCTTTCACCAGAAATGGCCTTGGATCAGCTTGCTGTGGAGAATGACCAGTCCCAAAGGCCAGCCTACATCCAGCCAGGCCCTGTCTAGAGAATGAGGGGTCCATGCTATGCACTGACAAGTGGCCCAATTCCCTCCTATCGTAAGTAAGAAGGTTGAGCCTCTTGTTCTCACAAAGGATCCACAGAGATTAGGCTCACTGAGAGCTTCCTCAAGTTGCCTTAGCAGAAGGCCTGGCCCACTTCAGTCCTGCCCAGCAGAGCTCCAGGGGAGGGGCCCGAAGGATCTGGATTTTTAACCTGTTGCTGACCCAGCAGCCCATTTGGGAAATGCTGTTCACAGGCCTCCGTTGGTCTCTAGCCTTTCCCATCCTCTCCGTGCCCCTCCAGGATCTCTTACCGGGCCTGTGGTCACCCAAAGCCTCCTCTCAGAGTTCCTCGTTAAGCCCCTCCTCCCCCTAATCACTCTCCTTTCTTCCTCCCCCTTTTCCAAGCCCCTTTCAAGGCCTCCATGGCCTCAGGAGGCCGCCCACAGAGGTGCTGAAGGGAGCTTGTTAGGCCAGATCAGCTGTTCTCAAAGCGTGGTCCCCACCTGAGGGTCCCCAAGGTCAAAACTCATTTCATGATAATAATACCTTTTCCTTCTGTATGTGTGGCTTTTTAGATGCTCATTCTCTCAGGAGTTTTCCAGTGGAATGGGTTAGTCTCTGTTCTTGTTTTACAATTTTTCTCAGTTTTAATTACTAATAATAAATATTCAAACACAAAGCTCTTTGGGGTCCTCAATTTTTAAGACTATAGAGGGATTATAAGACCAAAAACTTTGAGAACCCTGGCCCAGATGGTTTTCTAATTGGTGATAATTACTAATTTGATAGATGAATGAGGCTGCTTATGGAGGGGAGGAAATGGGGGGAGGAGACAGAGAAGAAAAAGGAAAGAAATGGTTTCGGGAAAGTGAGGAAGGAGGTGGAAAGGGAAGAGAGAGAGGAAGAAAAGGAGGAGCAAGAAAGGAGACAAGGAGAGAGGTGGGATAGGAAGAGAGAGGAGGGAGGAGGTGAGAGAAGGGAGAGGAAGGTAACAGGAAAGGGAGAAGGGGAAGGGAGGATGGGTGGACAGGCAGAGCTCCGAAGCAGGGAATTGACCCTATTGAAGATGTGCGAAGGCTAAGCTAGGTATATGCTGTATGTGTTTCAGTGCTGTCCCATTTCATAGATGAGGACACTGAGGCTGGGAGAAATTTGGATGATTCCTTATATCCTGTAAAAGGGGTGGAGCTGAGTCTGAACCTCAGGTCACATCCTTTGTCACCATGCTGTCCCCCTCTAGCTTACAGATGAGTCCTCATCGTCAGTGTGCCACCTTCTAGCCTGCTGGTTAAACAACTATGAAAGCCCAGAATGCAAAGGCCTTTACAACCTGTGCTGCCATTAAGCTACATATAGTCCAGGGAAGGGCGTGGAGGCGGCCAAGGGGCGGGAAGGGGAGAGGGGATGTGGAGTGCCTGCCGCTGGGTCTCTCCGGAGCAGCTGCCTGGTTTCAGGTCACAGGCCTTTCCCATCAGCCCCCATCACTGCCCTCCTCCTCAGGTGACTCCCTTCCTGCCTCCCCCTTCTCTTCTCTGGCTGGGGACGGGGGTCCGAGGCTACGCACACAGGGGCACATTCATTGGGCCCCTTCACCACAGTTTGCTGGGTCTGCCCCCAAGTCCTCTAAAAAAAGACAAACTGGTTGAAAAACTCCACTTGGCATTATTTTCAATATGCAAAATACAATTTATTACTTGGAGTTTACCCTCGAGTGTCCATATAGTGTAGTACATTCCCAACCAAGTATTTCATCAATAAATACTAAACAGCACACACAGTGAGATGAAGTACTTATAGGGGAGGTGGCTTACTGCCCACGGGGTGAGTATTCTACAAAATATTCCCATCGGGCCCTTAAAGTTGTTTTTTAATTGGAAAGTTATGGACTGTTATGCGCTGAAGATGTGCTCTGCCTCTCCAACATAAAGCTTGACTTTCCTGTGCAGAGGCAGGAAAGGGTCTGTGGGAGAGAGGTAGGGGATGCCGTAACTAGGAGACGAGGAGCGGTCTGGAATGTTCTGGGAGTGCAGCTCAGGGGTTCCATGGACACACTGTGGGACCTGCCCCCTCAGCAGCTGGGTGGACCTGTGCCCATTTCCCAGAGCCCCTTTCCAGGCGGTCCCCTGTGGGGGAGAGAAGGTGGCTGAAAAATGGTCCCCGGAGACCATGTCTTCTTCTTCCCTCTGGGCTCTTCTGAGGCAAGCGGGGCCTTTTATAGTGCTCTCTCACTAGGGCTGTTGCATAGTAAAACCCTCACAAATGACCGAATATAACCATTCTGTTTATTTTTTTAAAAATGGATGGGAAAGGTGGCCTGACTGGTCCATTATGACACCTGACCAAGTAGATCTGAGGGTGGTCCTGCACCCCCGAGCTTACAGGTGCCAGGCCCAGGCCTACCCGATGGCTGTGCCCACTCTGGAAGGGCCTCTCTGAGCAGCAGGGCCTGGGGCTGGGCCTGCAGAGCCCGAACTAGTCCTGGGAGAAGGGCCGGGCGGGAACAGGGCTGAGAGGAGACTGGAGATCCAGGGGATGCAGCAGACACAGCCCTTGGGCACCACGGGAGCCACCAGCGAGCCTCACCCAGGAGTGATTTTTGGAATTTGAGGTGACTTTTTACTTCCCTAATGCATGCCAGCTGGATGAATAAGGGATTTTCTAAAACAAAGAATGGCCTCTCTATACCTTTAGAAACAAAATAAAACAAAGGGTCTTATAACAAAGCACTTGGTATCTTCCAGAAGGAATTGCTGAATTTCAAATAAAGACAAGATATCTTGTATATTCTTTTTTCTCAATATAAAACATTACTTTTTAAAACCTAGCAATTAATTTGTATATGCAATTACATCCATAATGCAATAAATATGAGTATAATGGAGATGGACAAGATCCCCTTTAGGCTGAGGGATGCCACTGAGCCTCACAGGTCTAACACCAGTGACAGGCCCTGCACTAAATGTGCTGTCTGTGTTCCCACACAGAAAGGTTTGTTTGCTCTGAGAAGCATGTGTGTCACAAACAGCGTTCAGCTTTTCCCTTGGAAGAAAATGATGTGTCCATGTGATAACACTCCTGTCACATCATCACATGATTCATGAGTTAAACCTCCTGTCCATCTTATGCACACCTGCTTCATTTATAACAGTTCACACAGATGAAAATGTTTTATGTGAAACAAGACAATATGATGCAAGACTGGGAAATAGACTCTTACAATAAAAACACATTTTTAAAAAAGTGAATCTGTCTAATTACATTTGGAATGGGAACTTCCTCCTATCACAGATCAGTTACCACGGCCCTCCTCCTACAGCCACATAGGTCAGCACTTCCGGAGGAAGGCCCGGTCACAGCGCACGCCGACGGAGACCAGGTTCCAAGGAGCTCCAAAACAAACCCGATTCAAAGAAGCAATAGGAAATACATTATGCTGGATTCTGTTGGTAACTGAATGAATTGAGCTGAGAATAATTAAGAATAACCTTAAAAATGAAAAAATTTTAGCCTGGCTGGCGTGGTTCAGTGGTTGAGCATTGACCAGGGTTGTGGGCTCAATCCCCAGTGTGGGGCGTGCAGGGGGCAGCTGTTCAATGATTCTCTCTCATCACTGATGTTTCTATCTCTCTCTCTCCCTCTCTGAAATCAATAAATATATATATATTTTAAGTGAATAAACTTAAGTGCTCAAAAGGAAAAAACAACCAAAATCCCCCAGCAGCACTGCACTTGAAGGTGTTCTCCTAGTGCTGAAGGCTGACAGTGGTACTTTTGCAGAGGTGGTAGTTTAATAGTAATACTGGAGACGTTTGGTGACCTTTCAGCCAAGTTGTGATAAAATCGAAAGTCCTCTAGAAGTAAGATCTATTTACATGTGGCGATTTCAAATTCTAACCTCAGGTACCTAAATGCGTATTGTGAGGAAACGATTAAGCCCAGACCTGCAAAGACACAAACAGATAATTGTCAGTTTCTTTAGTACTTAACAACTTACAAGACCTGAGTTTAAAGGGATAAATCAAAGTCTCTTAATACACACACACACACACACACACACACACACACAGTGGATGGAAATACTCCATCCAAAATAGAGCACTTGCATGTCTTGGAAAATAAAACACTTTCCTCTTAGCAGCTCATTTATTCATTTGTTCATTCATTCAATAAACAGTGATTTAGTGCCCAGGTGTGTCAGGTACTGTGCTTTGCCCTGAGGACTGAGAGGTGCATGTTTGGACCTGATGCCCCCCACCCCTTAGTTAACTGTCTAAGGCAGGGGTGGGCAAACTTTTTGACTCGAGGGCCACAATGGGTTCTTAAACTGGACCGGAGGGCCGGAACAAAAGCATGGATGGAGTGTTTGTGTGAACTAATATAAATTCAAAGTAAACATCATTACATAAAGGGTACGGTCTTTTTTTTTTTTTTTTAGTTTTATTCATTTCAAACAGGCTGGATCCGGCCCGTGGGCCGTAGTTTGCCCACGGCTGGTCTAAGGGCATCTGTGACCTCCCATGAGGGACTGGTAACTCTTAGATTGGCAACAGAAGCCATCTGTACCCAGACAGCTCTCTGAGTACATTAACACAACTTTACTAATTTAGGCAACTCCTGACCAGGAAGATGAATGAAGTCACAAATAACTTTATTGTTTGTTTCAGGAACTTTGCAAAAGTCCATTCACCTTTTTATCCTACGAGTACACGAGTCAAGTATCCTCTTTAGAAGAGACTCACTTCTCAGAACAACACAGAGCATCAAGGGACTGGTCACTGTTAAAGCCCATCTTTGAAATCCTCCCCCGCCCCCAGCCTGTGCCCAGCAATCTTAAACTCTATGCCACAAAAGTCCCTCTATCAAAAGATCTGCCTCAATCCCTAAAACCTCAAGAATCTGCCTTTGCTCTCCCTCCTAAGACACTACTGAGACGGTCAAGTTTGTGGTGTCCCACACTGTGGTGAGCTTTGCTTTGCAAATAGTATTTCTGGGGAGCCAACACCCAACAAAGTCTTGGAGCTTTTTGAGAATATTAAAAAAAAAAAAAGCCATGAGGAGGACACACACAAAATCTGGCATATACTTTCAGGGGCTTCATGCCCTCCTAAAGGCCCTCTGTTGGTTTCATAGGGGTCTGTGACCACAGAAGAACCCTGCAGTTCTAGAAGGCGAGATTGGCAATCTGTGGTTGTCAAAGGCTAGACTCAGAAGAATCAGACTTTCAAGGTCAAAAGGAACCTTTTGAATCACCTAGTCCAGCTATTCCCTCAACTGCATGCATGAACACTGTGTCGATGGGGAACTCACTACGTCCCCGGCCACTCATTCCTTCTGTGGCTCTGAGCAGAGCTGAAATCTGAGCTCCATGTGGCTGTCCGGGCCTCTCCTAGCTCACCCCGACTTCTGCTTTCAGGAAGGCCAATCACTCCTCTCCTCACACACAGAGTAAAATAGAAAGTCTCCTCGCTTACTCTTAGGGTGTGATCCCAGGATCCTGAGCAAAAAGCAGTCCCATCAGGGGAAACTCGTAGAGTACTGACACGGTTTTCATGTCCAAACAGGATGGAGACTCGAGCCCCCTTGAGCACATCCCAGACGTTGATGGTGTAATCGTTGTATCCAGCGAACAGCAGGCGGCCTGGAAGCCGGAGGGTGTGATAGTTATTAAACCGGTTCCTTCCTGTTGTTCTTTTTCATGACTCTCGCTTCCTTGCTTGTTCATTCGTTCATTCATTCATTCATTCACTCGTTCATTCATTCATTCCTTCAATAAACAGTGATTTAGTGCCCCCGTGTGTCAGATACTGTGCTTTGCCCTGAGGGTTCAGAGGAGAAAGCACAGCTGCTGCCCCTGTGGAGGGTGGTCCTGGTAGGCAGACACATAAACACAGCACCATGTGATAAGGGCTATCATGGAAGTGCTCAGCTGTGTCATGTGCTATGCCTCACACAGCACAAGGAAGACATTGCAGAGGAAATGACATCTGATGGGCTCTTGAGGGGTGAATAGAAGTTTGCCATGCAGAGAAAAGAGAGAAAGGATGTTTCAGGCAGGAGTAGCTGCATGCATGCACGAAGGCTCAGGTGCAGAATTGGGGGAGTGTCTGGGGAAATTGAATGGTCCAGTGACCCAGAGTATCAGTGCTGCCTGAATGTTCACCAGCAGCCTCCCCAGCTGGGAGGGCAGAGGTGCCATGAGCTTCAGGGCATTGAGAAAGGGCACCCACCCTCCACCTCTGAAAAAAAAGTCCTTTTTCAGGTGTGAAGGGAGAATGGCAGGCTGGGGAAGAAATGTCTAAAGGCCCTTCATATGTGAGTGTTTGTCCATCTCTGCCTTGAAGAACAGTATTAGATGGGCACAGCCTTCATTTCCCCTGAAGTGACTGGGGCTGGGGGCAGCCGCTGAGGGCAGGGCGAAGTAGGGCTCACACAGCCCGGGGGGCCGGAGGGGGGCACATGGAACTGGCACAAAAGGAGACTATTTGGCATATGAGCCCACAGGAAGTTTAGCTGAGGGGCCGCTTGACAGAGAGCTGTGTGTCACTTAGGTCCTGTTTTACAGTCCTGGGAAAGCTTCTGACATAAAATCTTACCACTGAGGGAGAAGTCCACGCTGGATGCTCCAAATATGATACTCTCCTTGGAATAGATGGCGACCTCTCTGTCTGCCCGGAGGTCGTAGAGGCGACACTGGGGTGCAAACAAAGGAGCACTTACTTCTGGCTCCAGTTTGGCGAGGCGACACCACAGAGCCACCAGCAGGTGCCAATGGCTTGTGTAGTTGGAGAGGTAAGGGAAACACCTCTTACATTTTCTCTCCTAGCATTTTCTCCCTCAATCCCGATTCCTATTCATTTCCAATGGAGACTTAAAGACACAGCAAATATAGAAGACTTCTTCAGGTACAAAACCAAAAATGAAACCCAGCCTTTTTTTCTGATGAAGGATACATGTTCATTGTAGAAAATTCAGAAAAACTCAAAATGCATAGAAAATAAAGTAAAAGTCACCCCAAATCCTAGAGGTATTGACTAAATCTTTTTCCTTCAGACTTACTTCTGTTTTATGTGTGCATTAAAAAATAATGAAAAAAAATAGGGTGAATGTTTCATTATTACTTTTCTCATTATGTTATGAGCATTATCTCATATCATTAAATAATCTTCCAAAGAAACCAATTAACATGGTTATTAGTCTTCATGTAGATATATCAGAATCTAGTCATACCCCGTTAAAAAGATCTTTGTTTTTATTTTTTCTCTTTTATAATCAAACTAGAGGCCCGGTGCACATATTCATGCACAGGTGGGGTCCCTAGGCCTGGCCAGCGATCAGGGCCGATCAGAGCTGGGCTGATCAGGGCCTGCCAGCCAGGGGGAGGGACAGGGTGTGGGAGGTTGGCTGCTGGCCCCGAGGAGGGAGCAGGCCCTCGGCTCTCCGGGGAAAGGGGCTGCTTCTGCCACCACCCAGCCTCCGTTCCCCATCCCAGCCAGGGGCCGAAGGCCTTGGGCAGGGGCAGGAGAGGAGGCAATGGTTGCCGGACTAGGCGCGGAAGGAACAGATGCTAGACGCTGATGCCACTGGCAGGCTGTGGGAGGTTGGCTGTCAGAGTGCACTGACCACTGGGGGGTAGCTCCTGCATTGAGCAGCTGCCCTGGGTGGTCAGTGCACGTCATAGCGACTGGTCGACTGGTCGTTTGGTTGTAATGGTCGCTTAGGCTTTTATATACATAGATTATCTCCCATTCTTATGTAAAAATCCCTGAGGTTCTCCTTATAATAGCTATGGAATCTTTAGAATAGAATTATTTCCAAGAAATAGCATGTCTAGATCAAAGGGCAGAGATATTTTGAAAGTTCTTCTATCACAGAACTGCTTTCTAGAAGGCTGGTACCCAGGGTGCTGATCAGGCTGGCCCCAGACTCCTCACCACACCACCTCCACCCAAGCATCTCTCCTGCAGCTGAGCATCTGATCATTGAAACTTGCATTTCTTGGATTAGAGGTGATTTTGGAAACATTTTCAGTTTGCTATTTTGGGTGTATTGCTTTATAAATGGTCTGCATTCTATCTTTCTTTAAAATTGGGGTATATTTCTCATTGATTATGCCTCCCCATTCATATCTAAAGGATTTCAACTTGGCCTGGCATACATGTAGCAAGAATTTTTCCAAAATGTATGCACTTACATTTGGTTATATATTTTTGACATCCATAAGTTAAATTTTTATTATTACCAAAACTCTCAATCTGTTCCTTTGTAATTTCTTCCATTAGTATTGAATCAGAATCAAACTATTATTACTATTTAATAATTTATTTGGTATTTTCAGGGCACAAGAAGGTATTTCTTTTCTCTTAAAAACAATCAGTGAACATAATTTTTTAATTAGTATCAAAAGCTTTAAAACTAGGCTTATTTTTAAAAATATATATTTTATTGATTTTTTACAGAGAGGAAGGGAGAGAGACAGAGAGTTAGAAATATCGATGAGAGAGAAACATCGATCAGCTGCCTCCTGCACACTCCCCACTGGAGATGTGCCCACAACCAAGGTACAGAATCGAACCCGGGACCCTTCAGTCCACAGGCTGATGCTCTATCCACCGAGCCAAACCGGTTACGGCAAAACTAGGCCTATTTTTAACTCAGAAAGTTCATGTCTGAGAATTCATTCTATGGAAATAATGAGAGGCTCCCAAAATACTTACTTATAGCAGTGTTTTTTTTATTTTATTTTATTATTTTATTAGTATCTAAGGAATGAAGTGAACTAAGGTGGGATGATGCTTCAACTATTATTACCTAAATTAACTGGGTGGTTCCTAGATTAACTGGGTGGTGCACAGTTCTGACCTTTGCCAGGACTTCAAAGGTTACTAGCTTTTGGGGGGTCTCTGTTTAAACTCAGGTAGTGAAGACAATGAATGGACTCCGGCATCTCCCCCTTATTTTTTCTTTAAAAAATCAAGCAGTGTTTTTAAACAGGAAAAAAACACATACCTTGAAAACCCAAATGTCCCAAAATTGAAGACTGGCTAAGTAAATGATGGTTTGTCTATAACTCAATCATTAAGAAAAAATAATATAGAACAATGTTTATTGGCATAGGAAAATGTCCACAATCTATTAGTAAATGAAAAAAAGCAAATTTTGTTTAACAAGGAAAGAGACAGAAAGGAATTCATCTAATTGTGATTTTTCCTGGGTAGGGAGATTAGGTAATTTAATTTCTCCCCAGGTCTTCTTCAATAAATACACATTATTTTTGTAATCAGAAATAAAGTTATTTAAAAAAATAAAATGAAGGCAGCACATCTCTCTCTCAAATAAAAAAGCTCTCAATGGCTTAGGAACATACCGTAGCATCATCTGATCCTGAGGCAAAGGCATCTCCGCTCGGGTAGTACCTGCGGAGAGGAAGTTGGGGAGAAAGCACTTTAGAGCCGTGACTCCCAACCCTGGATGCCTGTCACAACCGTCTGGGAAGCTGTCCCATGCTAGGCCCTTGGAGTCAGAATCCCCACTTGTAGGGACATAAGGACCATTTGTTACAGAGGCCAGAGAGGGAAGCTCATCTGGCAGACCCACTGGCCTCTGGTTTCCTTCCCTGTCGATAGGGGACAGTGGCATTGGCCTTGCAGAGTGCTGATGAGGAGTAAATGTGATAATGCGGGTATCTGTACCAGGCATGGAGCACAGAGCAGGTCCCCGGACCCGTAGTTTTCCTTGACCACATACCTCATTTGTAAGATGTGGCCCAGAGCTCAGGGCCACGGCAAAACTAGGCCTGTGTAACCAAGAAAGTGGTCATAGACACAGACACTGGAATCAGACACCCAGAGCCACATGCAGATCCCTGCCCTGACCACTTACTGCAAAGTGGATACTTGTGCAAAGTGGCTTCACCTTGCACAGCCTCAGTTTCCTCGTCAAGAGGAAATAAGACAGCATATGCAAAGAATGTGGCATGGTGCCAATAAACAGCTTTCAGTCAGTAACGATGCTTTCTGTCACCGTCACTCTTCTATAATCCGCTTTCCAGAGAGAGGCAGGCCTCCGTGGAGACCGGGTGGAATAGTGGCCATCAGAAGAGGATCAGGGCAAAGGCAAAAGCATGTGTGAGAGACTGCGCCTTTTTAAGCTGTATCTCAACATAAGGGTTTACTTGATTGTTGTGGATATTGTGTCCTGCACCTTAGTAACTTCATTTTCTATCTGCAGTAAATTCTGGATTGATTTTCTTTGATTTTCTAGGGAATTGCTACACATTTGCAAAATGTGATAGCCTTTTTCCTTTTATCTTATCCCATATTTGAGGGCAGGGAGCTAGACAATTCTTGCTAACAATTCTACTACTAATGTAATTAAGTCGTCTCATTTTGTTCTTGCTTTAAGGGGAACAAGCCTAGTATTGCCCAGGAACCATAATGAAGATTCCTGGGTGATTATATTATATACGCTGTTGGAACAGTGTCATCTTCCAAATTTACATGTCAAGTACTGACCTCTCTCTTAGGCTCCAATTCATAGATCCTGCATGTCATTTGGCCCTTTTCATGTCATCCTGTGGAATTTGGGCTCAAGTAACCAGCACAGAGGTGCTGACACTCTGACTACTGCCACTGCTCTGAGTAATAAACTGTCCTTCATCTCTGACCCAGGAGTCTCATGTCTTCTATCTACCAGCAGCCATGAACTTGTGGTAGCCTAACTTGATAGCTTGCAGGTCGTGTAAAACCTCAGAACATTCCCAATTCTAGATAGTTCTGTCTCTGTTATGCTTTCTTAGTTCCAGCCACTATCCTCTCTCTCTTGATCTCACACAACTTCTTTCTAACCAGCTATCACACTTCCTTCCATTCTTGCTCCCCTATAACCTGTTCTCCACACAGCAGCCAGAAAGATCTTTTAAAGGCAAAACATAGATCATGTTAGCCACCCTCTCCCCCAACTCAACAATCTGGCCTTTTGTTAGGTCCCTGAACATCTCATCTCCCCCCAGCTCTTTGTAAGCCTGGCTCTTGAATAATCCTGGCCTCAATTTAAATATCATCTCCTCAGAGAGGCCTTCCCTGACCATTCTAAGAAACAACCCATCCCATTACATCTCCTTGTTTTACTTTTATTCATAGCACTTATCAGTATCTCAAATTAAATCATACATTTGTGTATTTGTGCACTGTCTTGTCTCCTGCAGGAAAGGAGAGACCTTGTCTATCTTATTCACAACTGTATTCCCAGTTCCTGGGATAATGTTTAGCCTAGAAGTACTCAATAAATATTTGTTGAATGAATGAATGAATGAGAGATACTGACTCATTGCCCCTGGTACAATTATATTAAAAGGTCTCCAAAAGCTTTGGAGCGCTACTCAGTCCCACCCCACATCAGCCATTCTTGCTGGGAGGCCTCTCAGCCCAGTACACTGAGCCTGGAGGCGGTGATGGGCTCAGGATCACCCCAGGCCAGGCAGCCCAGGAGAACTGAGGAGTAGCTGAAGGCCCTACTCACTGACCGGACACTGTTGACGTCTGATTCATGAGTTTCAAAGGCCTGCACGCACTGGCCGGAGCGCATGTCCCACACCATGGATTTCTTGTCACATCCCTACAAATGCAAAGTTACCAAGAGTTAAGGCCGCTGCAAGGCATGCCCACAGACAGGCATGAGTTCCAGTTATGTAACACAGACCATTTATGTCGGAGACCAGCTTTGCTTAAGGCCACTTCAACTCATGAGGCCTCAGAAGGCCAGAACTAGATCTTGGATTGGGCGGGGGCCAAGGGAAGGACGCAGCTTCCCCCTGTAGCATGTTTTCTTCTTTGGCAGCTTTCTGAGTGGGCACAAACTGTCCAGAGCCTACGTCCACCTTCCCCATGGCATTTCCCACGTCTTCACTGATCCCTTTCCTTCCTCCTCCCTCTATCGCTGCCTCTCTAAGCCCAGCGGGGAGAGCAGACAGACAGTGGTGCCAGGTGGGTCCTCCCAGCTTTGTCTCAGGCATCAGGGGCAGCCCTGAGCAAAGGTGGACCTCTGGTGCCTCTGGGCCATCTGCACCCCAGCAGCACTCCGGCTGGGGATCAGCAGAGCAGGAGCCCAGTCATGGCGCTGCCAGCAGTTAGTTGGCTGCCTGGGCAAGTCACCTACCTGGCTTCCACCTCAAGACCTGTAAACCACTCTCTCTGGATCGCCAGCCTGACCCAGAGGTTCATAAACATACGATTCCTCTATTATACGATCATGGTTCTAGGAGCATTTTGATAAAGTCTTGCAGAGCAGTCCTGCTGTCAAGTTTGGGGACTATGATGTGGTCTCACTTGTCAAATAGAAGAAGTACTGTATTGAAATTAGTGTCCAAATTGTTGGTTTCAACTTAGAGGATGGGGGCGGGGATAAGGTACCATAACCGACAACTCAGGAAGACCTGCTGTGGGTTCAGCACTGAGTGTCTTTACTGAGAATGAGGACGAAGGATCAGGAGTGTTTTCTAATCCTTAGAGGACGCTGATCAGAGGAGTTTAATGCTCTGAAAGAGACAACAGAATCTACCGTGACAGCGACAATTTGAGTAAACAGCATAGCCGAGGAGAGAAGCACAGTTATTCAAAGGTGCAGGAATGAAATACACAGAGATGGTCAAATGCCTGAGAATAAAAGTGAGGTCCCTGCCATTTAGAGGCCAGAGAGCCCTCTCCTGATGCCCAGAACTAAGAGGTGGACAGCTGAGAGCAAAGGGTCTTAGGTCTTCCAGCTGCAAACATCACTTTGATAAGGGTTAGCCAGCTAGCTTAATTAGGCAGAGAGGAAGGGAGGGTGCAGGGAGGATGGAGGCATTTCTGGCCTGAGCAATTAAAATAGCCATAAACCAAGGACAGAGGTATCTCTGGCCTGAGCAGCTGGGAGAGCCAGAGGGGTAATAAAACATCTCTGGCCAAGACAACTAAGAGAGAGCCATAAGGGAGATCAAAAGCAACTCCAACCTGAACAGATTAGATGGATAATGTTGCAAAATGAGGAGGAGAAAATGGGGGGGAGGCACATGGGCTTTAGACTTTAAAACTAATACTATGTAGAAGAATGACCAATGAAGAGAGCCGGGGGTCTTAAATTAAGGAAAGGGTCCAATTGCTAAGGGTCAGATTCAAACAAAGAACTACAACATATATAAACCAGAGACAAAGGGACATGAGACAGATTTTAGATTTTTGGACTTAGATTTTTCCCATCAAAGAGAGAGAGAGAGAGAGCGAGTGAGCATTTTTTTCCCATTTGAGGGCCCCTCCGCAGGGAGGTCCCCTTTGGGGATTCTTGCCCAGATGGAGTTTGTATATGCTTGCAATAAGTTTCCTCATTTTTATCAAAGAAATCTGTTAGTCCACGAATTTATTCTTCAACTTCACCGGACAAGAATCCACAAGAAGTCTGCACCCTGAGCCCCATGTTTCAATTTGTTGGTGTAGCATCACCGGCCTCTCCTGACTGACTCGAGGTCAGGCCAGCCAGCTTAATTCCCCATCTCTATTCCTAGCTGTCCACAAAAATACTCGCCCCTACTATTTGTATAAGACAATGTAAACTCTTCTACCTACTATTCATAATGTCCTGGGGAAGGGAGGAGGCAAGAACTTGTGCATCATGCCCAGTTTACAGATGAAATTTAGAGTGAGGTAGCAAAGCCGGGACCCAGGCATCCTGATTCCTAGCCAAGTGCTGCTCTGTGTCACCATGGCCTGTCTGCCCAACTGAGCCCTCAGATACGCTGTTCGATGGTGACTGGCAGGGGTGGGGCAGGAGAGTGTCCCATCAGTCCCAAAACTCTGTTCACAACACAGTGTTACCTCACCGAGCGTGTGCCCTGGTGGCCACTTGCAATGCTGTCAGGTACAAACTCCACTATTTATCTGAGGAATGATTTTTAAATGTGGCAGATATGCGCCCCAAGTGATAGCAGTCACACAAGGAGAACATTCCAGATCCTTCCGTGGATGCTGAATGTCGGCGCGGATTGGGAGGCCCTCCCAGTACCTCCATTGCTACAGGAGCTGGGGGTGCAGTGGGGAGCTGGGGGTGCAGAGGGGAGCTGGGGGTGCAGTGGGGACCTGGGGGTACAGAGGGGAGCTAAGGAGTACCTGAAAACTCTTTCAGGAACCCATCCCATCTAGTCCCAGGAAGTGACATGAATTGCCACCACCACCCTCCCTGGTAGACAGAGGACTCTAGACATGTTCCTTGGGTCTTTACCCCGGACACGAAGGTGTTTCCCGTCTCTGAGGGCGCCAGGTCCAAGCAGAGCACGTCGGCCCCGTGCCCGTGGAAGCTCTGCAGCAGCTGCCCGCTCTCCACGTCCCACAGGGCGCATGTCCCGTCGCCACTCGCCGTCAGGATCTGACGTGGGAAAGGACAGGAAGAGTGTGTTGTCATTATTAGTTCTGTGATGGGCAAGGCCGTCAGGGAAAAGAGGCTCCACACACACCCACCCCCGACACCCTGTCACTGAGCTGTGTTCCTGGGCCTGTCCTCCAGCGTCCGGATCCAGAGGCCTCCCTGCTGTACCCGCGGGGCTCTCCACTGCCTGGCATGCACGACTCTGTGAACGTTTGCTGAACAGAACCGACAGAACCGTGACTAGCTTCCACAAGCAGCCTCAGCCACGGTTGTACAGGCCCAGTCACCAGCTGCCCGCTATAGAGTGTGGGGCGAGTCCCGAGATTCTGCAGTTCTCACAAGCCCCCGGTGCTGCTGACGATGGTCACTGGACCCCATCTGCAGCAGCCAGGGTAGAGGCAGCATTTTGTTAGACACCCTCCTATTGCTGCTTCTCCCAGGTCAGGGTGCTCCCTAGAGGCTCCGGGCCACTGAGAGGTGCCGACACTCGTGCGCGCACAGGGCCAACAAGCACTGGTCACGTGCTGATGACGTCCCAGCGCTCTGCCAGGGTTAGGGTTTGCGGGAGGATTGGGTCTTGGCCTCCACTCTCCTGAAGCTCGCTCAGTTAACAGGATTGGCTGTCAAAGCAGAAACCAACCTAATCCCCTGTCTCCGTGTTAATCAGTTCTGGGACCAGGCATACTCTCTTGATCCTGTGCTATATAACACTGTGACCAAACAAAAATAACCTGCCTGCTTGCTCTAGGAAATACCTGCTCCTCCAAAATAAGACTGTGAACCAAGTAAACAACTTATTAAGACTAATCGCTTGCTCACCAAGACGGGCTTTAAGGCCCTTATCTCGCTGGGCTCACCAATCCAGAGCTATTATATCGTCAACCAGTTTCTCATTGTGAGAGGTCCACCTTAAAACCACCCAGTGCAGTATCTGAAAGCCTCCAAGAAGCCTTCCCTGCTTTCTCCGCCTTAAGGCCTATAGACAGTCTCAGGTTGGGGTTCCCTCCCTCATGGCAGTAGGTCTAAGGAACTGGGCATTGCTGAATAGGGTCTTGTAGACAAGACATTGATCACTATGAGTGTGGGAAGTGCTGAGATACAGGTGGGCCCACGGGAGGGGCACCAAATGCACCCTGGGGGCATCTGAGCTGGTCTTAGAGGATGAGTGACAGCTGGCCAGGGGAAGGAGGCAGGGCACTGCAGTGACCGCCTACCTCTGCACTGGATGAAAGGTGAGTCTGTGGAGAGTGAAGACTTCAGTCTGCAGACAAAAAGAAGCTATGGGAAGCTTCTGAACAGAATGATAAGATCAGGGTATATTTTCAGAGACTCTGTCAGCTCAGTGCCGAGATCCCTCCGTAAAGGCAGGCCCACACAGGGAGAGGAACGCTGGGCTGCCTGGGGAAAGGCATGGGGGCAGAGCCAGGGCATGAGACTTGGGCTCCGGCTGAGCATACCTTCATGGGGTTGGGAGAAGACAGTGGGATCCAGGGCTCCCAGACCCAGCTGATGGCACCACAGCACCCTGGAGCCAGGAGAAGCCATGGGGTGATCACAAGCCATAGTAGAACCTCCCTGTGCCCCACCTTCTGGCTGCTCCTGGGCCTGGAGGAGATAAGACAGTGCAGGAAGTGGCTGTGCAATGTTAAGTGCCCACAGCAGAGAGCCCTCTGTGGGTAATAGTTACTGATGGCCGAGAAAAGAAAACAGGAATCAGGCCTTAAGGACTGCTGGCATGCCACGGCCCGCTGACCTGCTGCACCTTCAATTTCCATTCGCTGGCATCTCCCCCGCCCCCCCCCGCCTTTTAAATATATATATATTTATATATATAAAGAGTCACTGCAGTGCCCTGCCTCCTTCACCTGGCCAGCTGTCACTCATTCTCTCTACATATATATACATATAAATAAAATTGATTTCAGATAGGAAGGGAGAGGGAGAGAGAGAGACAGAAACATCAATGATGAGAGAGAATCATTGATCAGCTGCCTCCTGCAAACCCTCTACTGGGGATTGAGCCTGCAACCTGCGCATGTGCCCTTGACTGGAATCGAACCTGGGACAACTTCAGTCCGCAGGCTGACACTCTATCCACCGAACCAAACCAGCCAGGGCTAGGCTGTACAGTTTTTAATGTGTGATTTTATGATATGTGAATTGTAGCTCCATTTTCTAAAATGTCACATACACACAGAAAGCATAAAGAGGAAAGAAAAAGATCATTTGGATTCTAAGGAGGAAAAAGGCCTGAAGGAGAGCTCAGTGTTTCAGGGGGAAGAGGAGAGGCGGAGGTGGAAGGCCTCCCGCCTTCCCATTCCCTCTCCTCCTCTCCTGCACACTAGGCCTAGCCCTGACAGGGAGGGAACACGTTACAGGAGGGGAATCTGCTCCCGCCTGGCTTTGGGCCTGCGGGCTGCACTGTCTGGGCATGGATGTCCTGCTGGGAAGTCTGGGGAGGCCTAGGATCTCTTCCCAGGAGAGGTCCCTTTGGAGCACCTCCCGGAACAAGAGCTGGGAGAGTTCCGGAGCACTCAGGCTTCTTGGGTCTAGTCCCCAAGGTCCTTCTCAAGGTCCCCACTGGGAGGCAGCTCTCAAATTTGGGGAATTTCCAAGGCTGCAAACCCCTGCAGCTGACCATGGGACTCCCTACAGCCTCAGCTTCCATCAAACGTACATCCGACAAGATGAGCAAGGCTGGTAAAAGTAGCTTATGAACACACAAGACTCTGACCGCATCTTAACTTGGGTACTTGTACTTTGAACTATGCTACAATTCCCTCCAATCTCTCCAGGCCCTCACCCACTAGTGCATGCGCCACACCACTCCTGTCCTAGCACTTGTAGAGGGTCAATATCTCCACTCTTTTTTGGGACGCCAGGTCCAAATAACCTGCTTTACATGATTGCCACAGGCTAGCTCTTTAGTTTGGTCATTTTTCATACCATGCTCTTCAATCAAACAAATGGATTGCTTTTAGAAGTAAAAAGTAAATTCTTAATATTTACAAAATACTGTTGTGATCTTCACTACAATGTAAATACAAATAAATTTTTTAAACCAAACACTCATTACTATAAATGCACTAAACATAACCTCTAACTGTGTCACTCATTTATTCTGGAATGTAAAGAATTTATAGCTTTAATGCCATAGTCTTATACCAGCCCCTTGAGGTTTTTCTTTAAAAAAAATATATTTTTATTGATTTTAGAGAGGAAGGGAGAGGGAGAGGGAGAGGGAGATAGAAATATCCATGATAAGAGAGAATCAGTGATTGGCTGCCTCCTGCAAGTCCTCCACTGGGGATCGAGCCCACAACCTAGGCATGTGCCATTGACCGCAATCGAACCTGAG